AAGTCTCAGGCTGTACTGCTTTGAACTGAAGCATTCTCAAATTATTTTTCACATTGAAGCAAGAATTTCATACTTGGTATCTAGCCTGGTTTCAGTTAGGACAGAGTTGATTTTTCCTCCTAGTAGCTGGTAAGGTGCTATGTTTTGGATTAGGATGAGAAGAGTGCTGATAACATGCTGATGTTTTAATTGTTGCAGAGCAGTGCTTACACCAAGCCAAGGACGTTTCAGCTTCTCACTCTGACCTGCCAGCAGGCAGGCTGGGGGTGCAGCAAGAGCTGGGAGGGGACAGACCCAAACTGGCCAAAGGGGTATTCCATCCCATCTGGGGTCATGCTAAACAATATATAAGGGTCGCTAGCTGGGGTGGGGGAGCCGGGCTGCTTGGGGTTAGGCTGGGCATTGGTGAGCAGGTGGTGAGCAATTGCATTGTTTGTACATATTATTAGTAGTAGTACTATTATCATCATTATTGTTATTATTATTATTGTTATTATTTTTCTGTCTTAATAAACTGTCTTCATCTCAACTCACGGGCTTCATATTCCCATTTCTCTCCCCCATCGCAGAGAGGGAGGGGGGAGGGTGAGTGAACAGCTGTGTGGTGTTTAGCTGCTGGCGGGGTTAAACCACAACAGTATCAGAAAGTTGATAAACAATGTTTTATTATGAAATTGTTACAATGTATATAATTTATTTGGGAAATTTGATTTTACTGATCATTTTGTATTTATACATGTATTCAAAATAGCTGACCAACGTCTTTACTGCTGAGAGGTGCCCTTAAGATGCCTTCAATACAAACCTTCTGCAGGACAAAATCTGTACTAGTCAGAATTCTCACCATTAAGTGTAGTAGTGTTTCAGGATATCATTTGATGACACAGCTAAGACCATCTAATGACTAATTGTCACTGACAGGACAAGTCTGATCCTATCAATGACATCTATCCAACTCCCTAGTAATCAGGTTCAGGGAGATAAGCACATATAAAACTGCTTCTGTACCCAAGTTCTTAACTCACTTAGAATAGGACTGGCTAAGCGCCAGTATACATCTAGATGCAAAGGAAACATAAGGAATGTATGACTCATGAAGGGACGGAGAGAGTTAAAGAACTCCCTTTGACTAGTTACTAGGCAGGCAAACAGAGTACTAGCTGAAATACAGCTGAAGCCTTTATGGAAGTCCATCTGCCACCAAGGCTAACTTCTATCAACAGGTAAGTAGATGAAAAACTGACCTGAGAATTATAAAACAAACAAACAAAATCTTCAAATTCAACAGTATGAAAAAGCTCATTGATGAGTTTACTGCTGTCCAAAGAAAACAAGTACAAGTGAAGACAGAACTGCATCAGACAATGATTTAGCTGATTCTACTGCTCTGGGAGCACAACCTGGAAACATTCAGGAAATTCTCCAGAAAGCCTTGAAAGCTCCATCTTGAAATACTTAATAAACAAGTATAAAAAGTAGTCCATAGGGCTGGAAAAGAAATACAACAAGATGTTTCTGTCCAATATGTTAATGTATCATATACAGAAGACAAAATATTACAATAATCTAATCTCTGGCCTTTCTCCTTTGCTAAACAGATACCGAATCCATTCTGTTTTCTCAAACTCTCTTTATTCTCTTTAATACATCATCTCCCATTTCCAGTTTTCAGATGCCTTACACCTGCTTGTTCTGATCAAGGCAGCAGTATATTTTAAAACCCCATCTTTACTGAAGCTGCACTTTCACAGCTTATAGGAAGACCTAAATTAGAACTGCTACAGTAAGTCTGCTCCTCCTCCTGACTATTGCTATAGACTCACTCTTAGACACCACATTCTGAAGCATAAGAAGTCTCAGCTATGGTTTTATGTTTTAATTTCATTAGAGCCTAAACCCATCTAAATATTGGCTGCCAAACCTCTGCCAGGACACTTCCTGCACTCAACTGGTATATTCCTGCCCTCTATCTTACACCAGTTCTGGCAATCTACCAAGCTATTTCAGCACACTAAGCTAGTAGAAAACTATGCATGTTTTATGGTTCAGTTAGTTTCCTGTCAGCTTAGCTATTGACGGAAGTGGATAAAACTGCAGCACTGAGCAGTTTGACCAGCTTAGTCTGCTTTGAAACCACCATCTTACTTAAACCAATTCAAAAGGCTACGTTGACACCTTTGTTACAGATTAAACAATGCATGTTTCAGCTTAGCCTAAACTGAACTGGAATTGATTTATAACAATTAGAATTAAACTGTTTATTCCAAAACAAGAACCTCTATGAAGAGGTCTGCATAGATCTAGCTGGCTTTAAAACATTCTATTTCATTACAACTATCACTACCTGCTGTACAAAGCACACTGTAGCAGAGCAACTAAGGCTACAAACTTGGAGCACATCAGCTTCCCCAGGACAAACGTGAAGTTAAACAATACTGTCAATTTAACTTCTGCACAAGCTTCTCAGACCATCAAGAACAAAACCACAAAACACAAACAGAGCTCTATGCTTAAGGGTTCGTCTATATAGGGTCAATTTCCTCATCTACACCCTTTCTAAAACACACAAAGCAAAATTCTGAACAAGATTAATGTTACAAGAGGAAGCATTGCTACCACTATCACACCAGTATAGAACCTTGCCACATTTTTTTCTACCTTATCCACAGTGTAACAACAGTTTTTAAATTCTGGTTTGTGAATTTTCTATAGCAGAAACACTGCATGGAACTAACAGAGAAACTCATCTCAATACATATAACAAACCAAGAAAGGTTCATTTTAGCATGCCTAGAACATGACCAACTCTAGTACTAAGCAGATGACATTTATGTTCCACAGTCATTTCCTTTTTATTTTCTATGCAAACTTCCTATGTATTCAACTAGTATAAGTTCTACCACCTTGTAACAAGGCTTATAGGTAAGTCTTTATTTATTTACTTATTTTGTGTCCCACAATGCTTCTTCACCAACAAAAATGTAGCTGAAAGGGCTAAGAATGGGTGATGGTTATTTTTCCCCTTAGAATAGTGCAGGCACAGGTTTTGCCCAAGAGACATTTCAAATTTAACAAACCAATTAAAGAAAATGGATAGTCAGTGAAGTATAAAAGCACGAGTCTTTTTCTTACAGGTTAACTTGCTTAGAATTGAACAGAGCCCAAGCAAGGGAAGCTGCAAGATGATGTGTGAGAGCCGAGATTGCGAGTTGAAAGACTGCCCCTCTCAATAACCATGAGGGATTAAATCAGCTTACTGTCCTGGGAAATTTCATCTTAACCCTACAAGAAAAGCAGAAGTTTTCCTGTGGGCTTAATTCATTGAATCACTACACCTTGAGGTCAGACCAGCACTACAATTAAATGCAAGGGAACTGCAACCTGTTGTATGGATCATACATTTGCTTCTGTGCTGAGTAAACAGCAGTGCTAAAATTGTAGAGAACTACATAAACAGGTATTAGACTCATAAACGGCTTTTAGATATTGGATGTCAGACTGACATAAGTAATAGTTTACCTCACTTGATGCATGTGAAACTCTTATTAGTATCAGTATCTGTGTCAAAGTCTTTCTAAGGTGAACTGAAGCGGAAATATGACTTATCACCTCCTTTGTCTCCAATATTGGCTGGGATCTGACAAGGACCACAAAGGAGTTATGTGGTGGGACCACAAAGCTGGGAGCAGGGAGGACCGAGAATTTCCCCTTTCAGTTACAATCGTTTAAAAAAAAAAAAAAAAAAAAAAAAAAGGTTAATTTTCTGCTAGCTAAGCAAACAGAAGTATAGAGAAAAGTAAACATTACAAATAGTTCAGGGATGGAGACTGGTGTGCAAGACAAGAAGCAGAGAAGGGGGAAAAGTACAGGGAGAAGGGGGGCCAAAATGAGGAACTGAATCTCTTCTGAGCTGTCAGATGGTAGGTATTACACTATCTAACCATACCAAGAGAACTGAAACAAGAAAATTACTGTCCATTAGTACACATATGACCTAAATTCAATTTAATAACCATGTTATCTCCACAAGATCTGTAATTAACAACAAGAGAATGAAGATGACCTGTGCCAAGCTTTTAAGACAATTACATCTGTGCAGTCAAGAACTGACAGGACTTAAGACCCCTGTAGTAGAAATGCGTGTGTGCGTCAGAATTTAAACAGGATGGTAGTATCCATTGCTGCTGTTTTACAGAAATAGCTTTCAGGTAAACTGAGCTACAAAGTCAGCTGCAAGTGCAAAAGAAGTATGGACAGGCAGCTGGCAGTCAATTACAATGAACTGGAGCAAGTGGTTATGCACAAGTATTTGATTGAAACGCTTTTCTCCCCCACTCCAAATGACAGTAGCATTATTTACACCGATAATAGATGGTTACATCTTTGGCTTTCTTTATACTGAGAGGGAACAGCATTTGCCTCTAGTAACTTATTCATGGGAAAAACTCCAGAAACCTGAGGAACAGAAATTCTCAGTCACCTACAATTCCATCGAGTTTTCTTCAAGTGAGGATAATGGGATACATACATTAATATCCTTGAAACCCCACTGTTCAGTGGACCAGTTTTTATGGAAATTTAAATGTTAATGTTCTTCTTTACACTTAGAACAATTAGGATCGGTTACCATACGTAAAAATATTAAGGTAGTATTTCCTTCCCCTACATTGCAAATCTAGAAGTACTTCAAAGGAAGCCATTGTAAGTAAGATGATACAAAAGGGTGATGTTTTCTCCAAGGACCTAACCTTAGTTATTTGTAAACCAGAAATAACAATGGAGCGTGCAGGTGGGGGGTAGGGTTGACATATAACAAAAACTTAGCAAAAACTTAAACACTTTCCAAGATACAACAGACACCATAAAATATACAGTGAGTCTTGCATCTTCACTGAAGTCAAGTTTTGTTGTAGATTACATGATTGCACAGTTCCTGCTATCCTGTTTACAAATATTCTTCTTTGTTGTAGAACACACCTGAAATAGTCCTTCTCACTCACCTTTGGATCGAGTGGAGATATCCATCCCCTCCACCACCTCCTGCTCTGCCTTTATTTCCTCTTCAGCCAAACTGCAGGAGTCAAAAAAGTGAATTAGAAGAGTTTTAGTTTATATTATTCCCATGTCTAACTTCATACATAGAAATTCAACATGACACTGTCAAATACAACTATATTAAGATTTCTGATGAAATTAAAGGTCTGCTGTTCGCCAGAGTATACACTGACCAGAACATAGAGAGAGGCAGTCCAGGTACACACGCGTGCTACATGTTACCCATCACAAAGGCAACATTTCCATATTAACAACAGCCTTGTAACATGAATGCCATTGTCTGTATAAATAGTATAGGACAGACAATTCTCTTCCTTGTGCCTCCTCATCTAAGGCCTGTATAAGCTGTGTGAACAGACTCCTGCTAATGTTTAAACACTCGCCTGCACCACTGAGCAGATTAGCTGAAGTAACAGATTTAGCAACAGAACATCTTGCAAAATTAGAATGTAACATGCAGTTTCAAAAACTATTAAAATATATAATTTCAAGGATTTTTAAATGAGACTCTATCAGAAAACTACATATTTATAATCCACTGGCAATACAATTCCATTAATTATTATCTTTAATAAAGAATAAACAGAACTGAGTTGTTACTACCATTCAACCATAGGATCTTATACAGATGCTTTTAATTTATTCCAGGCAGGATTAAATGATTAATTAGATGAAAGAATAGAGCTGACTTGCTAGTATTCTACTTTCTTATAGTTATGCCATTCAGGAAAATAACTCAATACATTTTACTACTTAAGTCAGTTTGGAGAAGGACAATGGGAGATGAAAAAAAAATAAAAGTATTGAGTTACACACCAGTTTTGCAACTATGACTGCTGTAGATAAATGATAAAAGAAAACATGACATTGAAGCAAGCCCAAATTCAAAATAATGGACAAATGCAGTTACAGTGCTTGAAGCAGGTATCACAGTTGTCTATTAATACCACTAAAGCATGACAGGCAAGCAGGATGTAGATCTTTTCCTCTGCAATGAGGATTTACTGTCTGGTTTGTTAACATAAGTTGTTGCTAATACCAGTTTATGTTGATACGGCAGACTGTGAGCTACTGCTGCTAAGAGTGGACTGAGATTTTCCCTTCAGCCACCCAGCAATAGGGACAGCTATTTCTACCATGAAGGCCAAGATGACAGCTAGAGACCTTTGCTTTAGCCAATACCATTAAATCTGCCTAAGGCAGCTAATCGGAGAGTTGAAGTAACAGGGAGGGCTTAGTTACATTTATAACAGAAAAACTCTTGAGACTGACAAACAGTTTGTATTAGCAGAAGTTTTGTTACTGGTGTAAGTTAAAACAGTTTTCTAAACAAAGTAAAACTTACCAGCAGAAGGACTTTTTAGTCTGGTATTCATCAAAACTACTTTTGAGCACCTATCAACTGTCAGGGGGTTGGGTTGGAAATCCTTTCATATTTTAAACAGGACAGTTACATCAGCCAAAATTTTAAATAAAAATTAACAGAGCTCAATGTATGGAAGACTCAAAACTGAGAAGATCCATCAACTGCAGAAAATGTTATTTTATATTTGTCATTCATATATAGTAATAATTCACAAATTAATCACTTTAAAGTCATAAAACACAGAATACAAGTTCTGTTAATGATGCTGCTAATTCCAGGAGCACAGAAAGGGAGCCATGTGACCAGAACTATGGTAAATGTGTAGCACTGTTGACCATAGCACAATGTTTCTCAGATTTATTTTGCACAGACAAATTAAATGCATAGTAGACTTGACCATAATATGATGCTCACTGATTTACTATGCATGGGAAGATCAGTTATACTGTGCATTTGTTACATCCTTTCCCAGAAGGCCTCTAGCAAAGAGGAGCTGACAGTGTGTGGCAGACACCAGAACTTGCCCTTGCCCCTTATCTTCCCTAAGAAATAAGGATGTATGGGCTTACAGGATGGGTTCGTTACTCTCTTCCCATGTTGCACAACTTTTCTTCTCTTTCCCCATATAAAATCCTATTTGATTACAGTTTGGTGATATGAAAAGAATGCTTTTTAAAAAATCGACTTGTAAATATAATACACACTAATTCTGTCAAGAGTGAAATAAATTGGCAGCACACATTACCTGTTTTAAAATACATATCCAGTTTCAGCCACAGATTAGAACATACACGTCTTGTAAAGACTCCGTTTGAAGTCTTAAGATCATTTTACACTGTCTGCTACTAAAAGAAAAGGTCTCTCCAATAGCTGACTTCATGTTCCAAAAATCATGTCAATTTTAACTGAATCAATGTTGTTATCTAGCTCACTGTGCAGCTAGATGTGCAGAAAAGAGGAAATGAGGATATAATGCGGGCAGGGGGGAGAAGGAGGCTGTTGGGACTGAAATACCCCTTTAGCAGGAGCTCAGGTTTAATTTACATTAAAATGATGATGATGTTCCAGACTCATCCAAATGCGTCAGATGCATTTTGTTCATAGAATCATTCAGGTTGGAAAAGACCTCTAAGGTCATCCAGTCCAACCCTTAACCTAGTCCTAAAGCCCACCACTAAACCATGTTACTAAATTCTACTCCTACATGGTTCTTGGAAACGTCCAGGGTGTTCAACCAGGGCTCAACCACTTCCCTGGGCAGCCTGTTCCAACGCTTCACAACCCTTTCAGTAAAGAAATTTCTCCTAATATCCAACCTAAACCTCCCCTAGTGCAACTTGAGGCCTTTTCACCTCATCTTATCACTTGGTGCTTGGGAGAAGAGTCTCATCTCCACCTCACTACAACTTCTTTTAAGGTAATTGTAAAGCACAGTAAGATCTCCCCTGAGCCTCCTCTTCTCCAAGCTAAACAACCCCAGTTCCCTCAGTCAGTCCTCACAGGACTCATGTTGCAGGCCCTTCAACAGCTTCATAGCCCTTCTCTGGGCACGTTCCAGCACCTCGATGTCCTTCTTGTAGTGAGGGGCCCAAAACTGAACACAGCACTCGAGGTGCAGCCTCACCAGAGCTGAGTACAGAGGGACAGTCACTCCTCTGGTCCTGCTGGTCACTCTATTTCTGATACAAGGAAGGATGCTGTTGGCCTTCTTGGCCACCTGGGCACACTGCTGGTTCATGTACAGCTGGCTAGCGACCAATACCCCCAGGTCCCCTTCTGCTGGGCAGCTTTCCAGCCACTCTTTCCCCAGCCTGTAGCCGTGCATGGGGTTGTTGTGCCCCAAGTGCAGGACCCAGAACTCAGCCCTGCTGAACTTCATACAATTTGCCTCAGCCCATTGATCCAGCCCATCCAGCTCCCTCTGCAGAGCTCCCTCCTACCTTCACGCCTAACCTGCCGTCATCTGCAAACTTACTGAGGATGTATTCGATCCCCCCGTCCAGATCATTGGTAAAGATACTGCAGAGAACTTGTGCTAGCACTGAGTGCTGGGGGTACAACCTCAGGGGAACATGATACAACAAGAATAACACAACAGCTGCCCCAAGTCAGCATTAAACAGCTAAGCATTGTGCATGAATACAGGGAGAAATGGGTGTGGCAGATCAATACAGCTGCTCAGGAGTGGGAACTGTTCCTACATCCCTGACTGAAGAAGCATGGGAAGTCAGAGCTGACTGAAGGTGCTTTACTCCTGTGGGCCCAAACCTAGCACCGCAGGGGTGTTACAGGTTAGGACTTCTAACATTTCTTCACTCAAAATCTGGCTCTTCCCATCTACTGAGATCAATTTTGGAAATTCAGCCAGCTCCCCTTTTAAAAATGTTCTTTCAAGAGATCTAAAGAAACAGGAAAAACATCCTTCAAAAGCAGTTCCAAGACAAACGAAGTATCTTGACTTGACACATCTCTGGTTTATCATACAAAAGATGATGTCTGAAGACTGCTTTTCCCAAAGACTTGTGGACAGAAATGTAAAAGAACAGTCAAAATGGATTCACCACTAGACACAAAGGTTATACATCTCTCTTAGCAATGGAGGTGCATATGTCCTATACACACATCTGCACACTGCTCTTCACCCCCAACTAACACAAAATTCAGCAATTATACAGTATACTATGAAAATTGACCTTTATACCTTTATAGGAGCAAATTGTATCTCCATTTCTCTATTACATTTAATCTCTCTCAACTGACAACAATGGCACAAACATTTAAGCAGGTACGAAAACTACTGTGATTATTCAAAAAAAAAAAAAAAAAAAAAAACATCAAAATGTTGGGGGGAGAGCTAAATAAGTGTGTTAGACTTAGCTATAAAAGATACTTAAAGTTCACAACTCTTCAGAAGCATCTCCCATTGTTTTATTTGCTGTAGTGTATTATGACTTGCACAACATGACATTGTTTGAATGGTAGTAGTGATGATTGTAGTGGTAATCTTTAAAACTCAAGCTTGCAAATACATGCTAGGAATTCACAGCAAGTTTACAGTAACTTTTCTAAAGCTGACAGATCTTTTCACCTTCGTACCTTCCATCATTACGAGCAATATTCTGAAAATGCTTTATACAGCACAAACTTCCAAACCCATAAATTTCATTAGCCAAAGATTTCAAATGAAATAATTCAAGAAAAACAGGTCCTTAGTAAGAGGTATCTTCTTATTACACATAATGAAAATAAAATGAAAATCAAGAACAGCAGCAAAGTAAATACAAACAAGCATCTATTTTTCTGTAAACAATAACTGTGTGATCAAGTAGGCCAGTCTAGAGAGTTGTATTTTGAGGGGATTTCATTTTTGCAGGGCTTAGAGATGCTATTTCAGATAGCATGCATTACTATCATGCATGTGTATTATTAATGTGATGCCCTCAGGTTGCGGCTCAGAAATGATGCTGCTATGTAGGCAACTAGGTAACCAACTGAATACAGAAAATACCTTGTATCATTCTGAATGTTACTCTTATTCTCTTATTTCCTTATGAAGATGAATGAATAAAGAGGAACATACTTTAAGAACACAATTGAAATTCAAGCACTGCCAGTTTCACTGTCAATTGACTAGAGCACCAATTAATCAT